AGAATTTCTCCTCACAAAGCCTTTTGCAGAGGAAAGCTTTTGTTTTATACTTATAAAGAGCTAAGTTTACGAAGTTTAACAAGATTTTCTGAAAGCACAGCTCTACAAACCTCAGAGGGTTAATCGCTACTTGTGTTTTAGAATTCTTAAAATATTCACGTCCCTCTAATTTTTCTTAGAATTCCCTGGGAGCTTTAGGAGGAGAGGGCTTTTTAAATTTTTATTTTGGATCAGCTTTATCAATTGTAGACCTAAGAAATGTGTTACACAACTGGGTCCAATGGTCAGACATGCTAAGTTTGTGACAAAGTAAAACAGGAACAGAAGGCTCTCCCTATTGATATGAAGGAATGTTTGGGTTTTTTTACCAATCTAACCTTTTAAGAAACATTTTTTCATCAAGAAAACCATTTTAATAATGAAGTTAATACAAATAAAGCCAAAGAGGAAAAATTCACCTGAGTAGTCTTAAAGGTGGTTTTCTTTCCTTCATCACACAGCAATCTAAAAGAATTTAAGAATCAGAGATTTCTATTCAGGATGCACTTTGTGCAGTCATAACTTTAAATATCAAAGTATTACTGCTTACAAATCAGTAAGTTAAATTTAAAGCCATAGCTAAAAATGTGGTGCTGTACCAAACCATATTTTTTATTCCATTTTTCCACTTGAGCTACCTTAAGTACCATTCAAGGAGCCAACTTGAGTGCTGGTACATTCACAAAAAACATCCAAGTATTAATGCAGCCTTCAACACTTCAAAGTTAAAGAAGCAAAAATGCTTCTGGCAGCTTGTCTAGAGAATCAGAAATATTTTCCAGGTCACCGTTCTTCTTCCCTTGCCACCTTCACATGGGGGTTCTGCAATATTTATTCCACTGCTCTTTGGCCCATCAGGCTGCTCAGCACTGCAGCTGCAAAACCCACCTGCTAATCCCAGGCAGTTCTGGTTTTGCCACCTCTCCATCCCATCACTCCTGGTGAAGAGGATTTGCTCAGTCTCCTGGAAAGGTTTGTCTCCCCTCTGCCTTTTTTGCAACACTGCAAATGGGAATCCCGGGTGGCTCCTGCTAATTACCCATGTGCATTGGGAGTCTAATTCTTCCTGTTGTTAATACACCCATCTTTAGCCACAAAGTCACTTCATATGCTAATCAGAGAGCAGCTGATCCCAAGCTAATATTTCATATACTCAGGAGGATGGATCTGCTGGGGGTATTAATGACAGCAGAGCAAGATGAGCTTGGAAAATAGTTCCCAAAAGATATTGTATCACTTCTAGTTCAACCCCCTAACAAATAATTTGCTTGTGAATGTGGAGCTTTGTCCCTTCCCTCCCTTGCAGAGGGAGGCCACTTTGCAGACAAGAGGAGACTGAAAAAAATCAGATTTTTTCTTTTACAATGTTGGAATCTAATTTCATAGCTGTTAAGTCTTACCTAATTTTTCCATGTAAAAGTTTTTGTGTTTATGGGATGCTTGAAACATCAGTTTCAACCCAAAATCAAGATGAGCATTTCTATGAATATTGAATAGTCCAGGACACTAATCAGTCCTGCTGCTGAGAGCAACATAAAATAACCTGGAAAATTTCTACATTCCCCACAATACGCCATCCCTTCAGTCTGATCTGTGGAAAAAGCTGTGGCAACCCAATGAAAAAAATCAGCATGCCAAGTGTCTGAGGTACAACAAGGTCTGAGAATGTCTTAAGCTGACACTGCTTCCACAGAGCACGTTTATGGTCTGAGTGGACGTGACATTCCTCCTGAATCTCCTGAAATACAGAAGCTCCATCAAAATGTCAAGTCAGGACACCAGAACATGCAATATCCCACATAAAATCCACACTGCAAGGATTTCTCATCATGGCTTTTTGCCTGTAAGACAACTCAACGTTTCCACTTGGTTAACAGTGTGTTCCAAGTCACTTTGAAGGTGCTTATGTGCAACATTGGGAACAGCCCTGTACATCCCAAAAGACAGGAATCAGCACAGTTTCCACAGCCTGCAGAAGTGCCGAGTGTGAGCTCTCATTTCAAGAGCAATTTGCTCAATGGCAAAATAGAGATTCAAGTCAAGTTACCTGCACTATCTTCTTACTGCATGGAAAAAGTATCTATGAGATGGAAACACACATCATTTTAAAGAGAACCAACGAATAATTATGGATTTCTGTTAAGTTTTTTTTCCTCATTTTTCTGAGGATGTGAACAAGAAGTTCCTTCTTCAATAGGTTTCAAATTGTCACTCAAGTAGAAAAATCAAAAGCTGTGAATTTTACACATTATTTCTTCTGGTGAACTACCAGTTCAAGTCTCCATTATAAGATATTCATCTCATGTCTGAGTATTCTTCAGTTTTAATTCATGGTGCTGATCAAAGACAAAAGATCCTGCAGCTGTACAAAAGTTCAAACAGCTCAAAAAGCAGCAGACACATCCAGCTGTTTTGAGAAGCACCACGAGATTGCTACAAATCTGGGATAAAAAAATATCCCTTCATGTACCCAGAATGTTCAGCCATGGCGTAAACATCCACCTAAATGAGTGTCATGCACGTAATACAGATGTGAGGGGCAACTGCAACAAACATATTGTACCAACTAAGTGTGTTTTAAATAGGACTAACATCAAGTTTAATGTATTTTATTGTCAGGGCTCAAAATCCAATGCGAATCCTTCAAATACAAGTTACGTGCATTGTTTCAAGGCCACACCTGCCCAGGTTTCAGCCTGCTGTCCCACCTAGTTTAGTTATAACTCTGATACACTTGTCTTACACAAATGCTGAAACAAGTGTTGGCACAACCACCATTCCAGGTCATGGCAGAGCAGCGAAATGTTCCACTCTCAAATGGATCTCTGGGGGTAGGATAGAAAGCCACAAACCTCCCCCTGGCCTTCCTCTTAAAACAGCTTTGAAAAGAGCATTTTATGCATAAAAGGCAGCTGGTTATGTTTTAACAGACTCTTGTGTAAACAGAAGTGCTCAACAGATGTGCAGCGCCTATCAGAGATGGTTATCAGCATCATTTTCACTTCCAGAAGCAATAAAACTGGACATCATGCCTATTCTCTGAGCCATTTACCTACCTCAGAAGATAAACTGGATTCACTAATATCTGCTATGGGATTGATAAAAAGAATTGAGTACTAGAAAAAGAGAGAAACAAGACTGTCCAGCTACTGCAGCGTTTCAATCTGCAAATAGGCTCTTCACTGATCTGAAACTGCAAACAGACAAGTCAAAGTGAGGGGAGGAAAGTCAAAAAGACACTGAAGCAGATTTATATTTAGCAGCAGGTTAGGTGGAGAGAAAAGGCTCAAGGACAATGGCAGCTCTTTTCTTCCTTGAGTTAAACCCCCAATGCATTTTTGTGAAAGAAAGCAAGTCTTCTGCTTTTAACTGCAGCCCAAAACTGCATTATGGCTCTTGGGTGCTTTGATTTTTTTCTTTACTTTCTAAATCTCAGCACACAGGCAGCTCCAGGGCTCAGCAGAACTCTTAAAAGCAGGCCTGCAGAAGTGAAGAGATCAGTCATTTCCCTGTCCCCGTGCTCCTGCAGCTCCCCCGCCCAGGCAGCCGCAGATGAGATTTCACGCAACCACACACGGCCTTTTTAAACAGCCTGAAAGATTTAAAATCCTCCAAGAGCAAGCAGAGCATTCCTTCTGATTGGAAAGAGAAACACTGAAATGTGCTTCAGTTGTTCACAAAGGTCACTGTAACCTTCAAAAGTCTATCAAACTTCTTCCCCCCTCCCCAGCTCTATTATCTTTACAAATTTGTAATGTTCTTTACAAAATATACTGGAGTTTCTCAGAACACAAATCACAATGTGAACATGATGTAAGCAATCTTTGCTTAGTTAATTTTTCCTAGGCTGCTTAAAGTTTCCAAAGTCCAGATGTTTTTCCAACTGTCTTCCCTGTCCCATGACTGCAAAAACATAGGTTCTTTAGAATTACCATTTTATATACATTTTCAATGTAGTCTGTGCTTCTCAGTCCATTTTTTCCAAATAAATATACACATACTTTGGATTAAATGACTTACTGCATTAGAAACATGACATTAGAAAGCTTTAGAAAATATATTCAGTGTATTTTGACAAATGCAAACATGCTGAAAGCCTGACATGTTCCATGAAACAGTAAAGAGCGTTAAAATTGTGGAAAAAAATAGTTTCTTACTTGCAATGTCTATGGCTACACCTCCAACCTTGTACAATTAACAATCTTGTACCGTTAACCATTATTTCCAAACTTCACCATTAAAATGTTACTGTGCATTTAACAGCATAGGAAAATGCCCAATAATCGTAATCCGAGCTTGTCAGGGAGCTAATTTTAACCCCCTGCTACCCAAGCTAAAAACAGCAGGGAAAACATTGGAAGAACTGTTAATTTTTATCACCTTTACTCAAATATTGTCCAGCCAGAAGCAGTTGCACACACTTCAGAGAATTCTTTGCTCCAGACCACTGAACTCTTAAGCATTAAACCTTTGAGATGCATTTCAAACCTGCTATTTGACACCACTGGAGAAATAAATTCACTTTTTAGAGCTCATATGAAATTGAAGAGATCCCATTTAGAGTGTAAAACATGAAGTAGGAATGTGGTCCTCTGCTAAACCAGATTTACCAATAGACTGCTTTGTTAAGGATGCATCAACTACATGATTTCCCTTCCCATCCCTGCACGGGATCTCTGATGAAGGCTGAGTTGAGATAGTATCAGTGATTTCTCATTACAAGCATATTGTCAAAAAAAAGATTGTGTTTTGTAGCTGTTACACAGCTCAATCATCAGCAGTATCTGCAGTGACAGAGTAGATATCCTTCCACAACAATAAAAAGGTAGTGTAAAACAAACTCATTTTGTTATTCTAAAGCCTACAGAAAGCCACTGCAACCACCAATGGAAAAACAACACAGAATTTTGAACATACACATCAGTGACAATTTGACTCCAGAAAGGATTTCTGGAACTCACCTATGGTGCAGTTTGTGGTTATTTTTCTTCGCTTGGGGTTGTGTCGTAGCAATTCTAACTCTCTCTTGGTCGGCTCCCATGTTGAATATTTCTCTCCAATGCCTAAGCAGATGAAAACAAAGTTTCAGGAAGCTCTTTAGTAAAAGGATTAAAAATTCTGTTCAAGTCAAACTTTCAACATGCTGTCCATTAGGTTAGATTTAATTTATGCACAAATTAAGGACATTGATTGCTTTTTACCCCTTCTCAAAAAATATGGTTCAAAAAGATATCACCAAATTTTTGAACAAAGAAGAACATAAGAAAAGGTATTTTTTACTTATAAAGAACAGCTATGCCAATAAACTTTCCATTGTTGGATTATAATCATCCTTTCAGTTAAAAAAAGAAATTCCAGCACAAGAATAAACTTGCTATTTACCCAAAAATACATTTCTTTGTGCTCAGAGGAGGTTAAGTGACAGAACCAGCATTGATGAACTTGACAAGTTATTAAATAAATCTAAACCGACCCAACTTAATGGACAGATAATCTTTAGAGAACAGCAGAATTTAGTAATTCAATATACTAAACAGTTACTACATGTATATGCCATTACACAGAATGACCTCTCCTTATACTATTGCTAGAGGATTAGATGAGTTTTAATTTTTGACATTCACTTTGCTGACGTATCTAATGTTATCTAAAAATGAAATTAGTAGTAGTTTTAAACACCACCCTCCCTCCACCAACTAGTCAAAACTCTCCAAATATTAAGCTACCCTTTTTCATGAGCTAAAATCTGTCGTTTTTCTTTTTGAAGACCAACACTGCATTTCCAGAAGATTTCTTTTGCTCAAAGGAAAGTGCAGTAGAAATGAGTCAGGTCAGTAGTATGGAGACCAGATTTGAAATCAGCACAGAGCTGTGTTCAGTGTAAACCTGATACATGAAAAACACAACAGTGAAGACTCACGTGCTGACCAGCTCAATACTACTGCAGTTTTCCATGTAGCACAGAAATTGCTGTGCAAGGTTAATTATTGTGAGTCACAAAGGCATCTCAGCATTAAAAATAAAGAATTCTAAGATGGCAAGCAGTCTATTCTAAAACTGAGAATTAAAGTCAATTAAGAGTTATTTTTTCACAGACTGCATGGAGCAGAAGCAGTGCTTTGCTACAGAAAATATATTATAAATCATACATATGAAAAGGATAGTAGAAAAATATAGCTGGAGGCTTACACATACTGCATAATATACATTAAATTTTAATAGCTCTTTGATCTTCATTTTCAGAAATAGCTATGCTTGTCAGAAACTACCCTCCCAAAAATATTCAATTCATAGTTACTACTGACCCTCCAGGTTCTAGTAATAGAAGGTCTCATTTTTAGATTCTCAGGGACTAGAGAATTCTTATTTACACAAATACACTCATCTCTCACTTTATTTGATTCAACAACAGATTATGCAAGGAACTTAAGGAACAATACCAGAATCCCTTTCCTTTATCCAAGGTTCAGCATCAAGCTACACACCCAGGAAAACAGAAAAGGCAGGGAATGACTGAGACTGATGAGATAAAACAGCTGCAATGCTTTGGACACACTGCACGTCTGCAGAGACCCCTTGGAGATGCACAGATGGACACTTCACAGAGGATGGAACATTGGCTTCCAGCAGGTTTGGCACTGGATGTCTCCAGCACCCCTGGTCATATTTGTAATGCTCCCTCAGGAATTTATATAAATTCACTGGTAACACCGTGTTAGTAGCAGCAATTGCTTTGTGCAGCTGTAAATTCCTGTGTTTGGGTTCACTACAATTAAAACATGGCCAAACACATCCAGTCAGTGTGATGAACCCTGATCATAATTTAAAAATACCCCCCTTAGATATGTTTAAATCCTGGTTTAAGTCAAATACAACAAAATTCATACCTGGAAACACATGTGCATTTAGGCATGTAATAGCTCCATGTATATCAGCAGCACTATTTATATATGTTTATATATATCTATATATAGTTATATAGTTTAAATACTGTAGAGAACGGGACTAAAGCATGTCACAAGAGCAACTCTAAGTAAGGTTAAACATGACAGACTGGATTACTTTTAAAGATTCTGGATGAATCAAATATTTGTTCAATTTAAAAGAAATGAAAGGAAACACAAAACCATGTGCAATTAATGCTACAAACAGAGCAAACCAGACAGAAAACATTATTGCAGAAGCTTTTCATTAGAAAGAGCACAAGTCAGACACAGAAATTAAGATGTGTTCCATTCCAAGTATATAACTTAGCAGGAATGCTGAGGTTATATTACTCTTGAAAATTTGGAAAAGGCAGAGCCATTTATTAGGAATGGTTTGATGTTTAAAAATTAAAAACAACAACAAAAAATAACCAAATGACAAAGAAGGAAAAAGGTTTAATAAAAAGGTTTAATAACACTCACAAGCATGCCATAAACTCCAATATAAACTACCTTAAAGATTTGCAAACCATGCACAGGTCACCATTTACAATTAAAGGAAAGTAGTGTTAGAGAAGGCAAAACTAATAATTTTTAAAATGCTGCTATAAAATAGCCAGAGATTCAAGTCAGCATGTGAAATCTCCATCTAAGAAATTATTTTATTGGGTGAAATACTCAAATTGGCATTTCTAAGAGAATTCATCAGGGGCATAGGGATGAGTGAAGGAAAAGGCAATGAAGGCTCGGGTTTATAAAAGTCACAATTTTTCAATCATTGTTTACTTTGCTAAACTTCAAATTCCAATTTTTTCTCTCCCAAAAATTCAGACATTAATTAGAACAAAGGGCTCTGTGTATTCTCACCTTCCCTGTTATTAATCCTGAATACCAAAGGAAAAAATAGTGGCCAAGTTGCAACATTCAGAGTTACATCAGATAACCCCAAACTACAGCTGGACTGGGGAACTCATCACACTGGGAGTTAATACTACAAGAGTATGAAATTAATCTCATGATATTTGGGGGTTTTCTTAAAGTTTTTTTTTTTTCTCCAGGCATCATGTTGTTATGTGAGTATCTATTAAAGTATAAACTAACACCCTTCAAGCACTGTGGAGAGAAATTTGAATACAGTATTTACCCTTCAGTTTTTAAGCCAATCAGTTTCTGCAGACTGGATTACCTTCCAAAGTTCTTTAAGTTGGTAAAAAGATCTGAGGTAAATTAACTATGTGGTACAAATATAAACCCAAGACACCAAGTCTGGGGTTTGTGCTCCTCTTGACATTCAGTTTGGAGCAAGAAAGGATCTTTCAGATAACAACAGGGAGGGAGCACTGAGATTGGAACAACAGAGAGAGAAGGAAAAAAATAGACATATCTCTCCATTATTTCTCTCATGTACATTTCTCACTCCTTAGATAAATTTTTGAGGAAACACGTGGCTTCATAATAAAAAGACATAAAAAAGAACCTATGCCATGACTTTAAAGGAAAAAAAAGTCTACATTCCAGACTCCAGTAATTTTAAGTGTTGTTGTCTATTCCTTGATTTTCTATCTGCACTGGTCACTACAGATTAGTTCTCCAGGGACAGAAGATGGAATGTGCATACTCAAACAAATATGCATTTGTGTATATATACTTAATGTGCCATTCAATAGTCAGTTAATCAGTACAGAGGCTTCCTGCCTGGCTCCTCTGGGTGATTCTTTGACCTTCTCTACACAACTCTGTTCCTCTGGTCATCTTGGACCACAGTCTTGTAGCTGTAATTCCCTGGAATATAAACTATAGCAGGTTGATGCCCATAGCAGGACAAAGTGGCTGCATCTCAGTCTACAAGGCACAAATGTATTAATTGATAAGGACAGCATAACTAAGAAATTACTCTTTAAATCTGCGTATCTAAAAGTAGGAACTGGGGGAGGTTTCCTCTTCTATAGCATAATGAAGATCTGTTATGTTTTTGCAGCTGATTCATTTGGTGCCCCAAACACAGATTGAAGTTTCTAGAATAGGTGCAGAGATTGAATAAAAGGTTTTGAAAAATATTCCCATTTTGTCTTGCTTTGAAAACCTGTGCTAAAAGATTTGAAGGTGTATTTCCTTGTTCCAGGACTCACTACCCTCCCTTCCTGTGACTCCCTTCCCTCAGACAGGCAACAAGCAGGAAGCAGACTGGGATCTGTAGTAGGAACCAAGTGAAGGCAGCTATCTTTTGAGCCAGCAGAAAAGCTCTTGTTAATACCGTGCTAGCTGCTATTTTTAAAATTGGAAATGAGGTTAAGAATGGTTTGAAGTCATATCAGCCCTGACTAAGGCTGTCACATTGAAACAGGATGCCATGGATTCCAGAAGAGACGTTACTAGACAGAAGTCATCTGTCTTCAAATACAGACTTTCCCACTTTAAGAAAACATACCTCCCAGAGGCCACTGGAAATGGAAGATGACAAGCTTTTAAAACTGATGCTTACAAACTACTCAGTTTAGAATAAATTATATTTCCTTTCCAAACAAACAAAAAAAAAAACAAACCAAAACAACAACAACAAAAAAACCAACAAAACAAAAAGAGAAAAGGTTTGTTTTGGAGGAATTCTATCAAGGAAAGAGCATATGAAATCAAGTCTGCTGCAATTATTCAGTCATTGGAACATATCCAAACAAGAGGAAAACGATTTGCACGATAAAACTGGCATTCTCAACTGTGATTCATGTCTAAAATGGCAGGATAATCAGCAAAGGGACGCTTGTTAGTGAGGTGCGTCGCCAGCCCACGCCTCTTACCTGTCATTGTACACTGGTAGTGAGAAACCACTGTTGGGGTGAAGGCTAAAAAAGAAAAAATTAGGGAAAGCAAACTGAATAAAACAAATGTGTGTACATATATTTGTGTGTAAATATTTCTACATAGATACTGTGCGTGTACCCTGAAAGCATAGGTGTGTAAGTAAGCTGGCATGATCTATTTAAAAAAAAAAAGCTTAAAAAAATCACACACAGGGGTGGCATTTCATGTGAGGGGAACAGATTTATTGCCTGTACCATGTAAATAAGCCTAAAGGAGCAGACTGTTACATTCTCTACCTAATACAGATCTAACTTTTGATATTATGCAAGTTTTTCTGGATTAATGTCAGATATTTCTGTAATTTTTTGCAATTAAAAATAAAATCTTTTTGCTACAATTAGATGTGGCTCACGTGTTAAACCCACAGTCTGACTCCTGCAAAGGAAGAACATCTCTCTCCCATGGCCTGCACTACTCTCTCTAAGGAGCATTTTCTTCCCCTTAGTGTTTTTTTGCCACTGAACAAATGGGAGGGACAGGTATGATTAAAAACAGAAACAAGAAATTCAGGCAGGGAAACCAAACCTTGTAATTTCCAAGCTTTTCGTTGTTCTTCTTTGGCAATTTGTTCCATGTCTTTGTCGTATATGTAATCTTGACACATAAAGCAGTATATACCCCCATACAAAAGGTCTATGGCTGCAAAACAGAAGGGAAGTTGGGGAGGAGGAAAAAAGATGTGAGTTCATAAAACCAGAAGGCATTTTAAAGCAGGCTTCCAAGTCAGGCACTCCTTCTTCCAAGCAGTCCACAAAAGAAGAAAAATCTGTACCTTAGAATCTGGAAGGAAAAAAAAAAAAAAAAAGAAAGAAGAACCCAGACATTTTTCCAGTTTCAGTGTGAGTTATTCAGTTGCTTCTGGCACAGCAAGAAAACTGTGCAGGGCAATAAAGCATCAGCTGCCTTCAAGCTGTTTGTAACCCACAATTTACCTCTCTAACACCTGAGTTACCAAGAGGCATCAGGACAGTGACTGACTACGATGCACAGAGAACCAGCACTGTAAGAGTTGATATATGAGTTTGAACTGTCTTTTACTAAGACTTCAGACATTTCTCTTTAAGGCCATTAAAATAATTAGGAAGCACCTAGTTAAAACATAAATGAAGGCTCAAACAGAAGACAGCATTGCAAATTCAAAGCTATTTCTCCAGGGGAAAGGTTTTCCAGGGTAATCCACAGGTTACTTCTGTCTCAATTTTTCATTTCACACACCCTTTCAGAATAAACAAATGAACACTGACCAATGTTAAAAATATTTTTCTTGCACAACCTTAAACAAAAGAAAGCCATGAAACAAAATAAATACCTAACTGAGAAATGTCATTTTACTCCAACATATACCACAGAAAATGTGCAAAGTAATCATAGTAAACTGCTGATTTTCAGTACATAGATATGAAAAAAGCCACAATCACAGGAAAGTTAAAAATCTGTGGGCATTAACAAATCTTACTAAAACACAATCTGCACCAACAAACAGCTAAGTAATACACCACCCTTCTCCCTCCCTTCTTTCAGCTCCCTGAAAGTATAGAGCTTTCATTTATTTTGTTTTTTAATTCCTTTTATTTCCAGATAATAGCATTATTAGACCAGGCTTACTGCAATGGAAACTTGTTTTAAACACAGGAAACCATTACCACATTAGGCAGCCTGCAAGAAACAGCACGGAATTACTCTGAAGTGCTCAATAAGCCAAACCACATGCCATGCAGCAGGAATTCTGCCATGGATCTCAGCAGGCAAACACAGGTGAAGTCTCTTTGCTGCTCTGTTAGTGGGGCAGTGCTTGTAGTGAGAATTTTTGGTGAAGTTCCTTTCTAACCCCATCTCCTCCATCCTTTCAGTCTCTACCCCCTCACAACCTGCTGTCCCTCTCCTTTAGTCTGCTGCAAGCTGGTTTTTTTCCTTCTTCCTCTCTTTTAAAATCACCTTTTCAATGATTATGTCAATTGTTTGTTACTTCTCCTATTACTCAATAAACCAAATCACTTTAAACAGTTTTAATCTTGCTGATGTGCTCCATTCTCTGTTTTGCCTGTTTGGACCACACTCAGTCTGTGGAAGACTTTAAGGACTGTTACCTCATGTAAATCACAAACTCAGGATTTTCATTACCTTGTGTAATGTCCCAACATCAGAATATTTCACCCTGATGCCCAGAGGACTGAATAATAATATCCTTTAGCAGAATATCTATTATATATATATTAGCAGAATAGAGTATTGAATATATTAGAATATATATTACCAGAATATCCCAAAAGGGGACAAGACTCTGAGCTATGGTGGAGGATCAGTAATGAAACATTATGCAACTGCAGGGGTGGTATATCACAACTTACAGAGTATGAGAGTTCTACAATATTTACTCCATTACTTACTGCATTACCAGTTCTGCACATTTTTCTACAAAAAAGCTGTTGAAAATCCAAAATATGGGTCTTAAAACACAAACCCAAATACTGATCTCCATGTACTTTTAAAGCATCCCACCAACAGGCCTCCAAATAATAAAACAGGACTGGCAGAATATTGAATAAATAGGACTCTGAGCACTAATAGTTACAATTTACCATCAGAACATGTAGCTGAGCTCAGAGGATTCCTTACTTTTCCTTTCTTCCTGGATTTACATGCCTGAGCAATAAAACAGAGATGTCAAGGTCTAAACCAACAAGAGAGCAGAAGGTATTTCTGGTGTAAAGGACTATTAAGTTTCACACAAACACTGGTGGAGTTAAAGCTGTAATTGTCCAGCACCTGATTAAGGACTCTTGAGGAAATATCCTCTCTCCAACACACTTATGGGAACAATGCAGTTGTACATTTGCCAACACTTCCAATGTCTTTTTAATGACTGCAAGGGGTTTTGGACAAATTACCTCAAGCACCAGTGGCAAGGCAGCCACACAGGCCTGGCCACAGCACGGAGGAAGGGCAGGAGTTTCTCATGGAACCCGAACACAGCTGCTCAGGAAAAGAGTCCACTAGGAAAATTTGGGAGTTAATTGTTTCAGATTAATGTAATTTAATTTTTTTCCCCTTGAAATACACCTAAACTTTCTTATGCTGGTTGTCTTGAGGTGAAGAAGAGAGGAACCACTGAAGGGACTGTTTCACTGGCAGAAACTCTTCCCAATTAAGCAATTCTTTAGCACTGACTGAAGGTACACCACACCCAAAGGACAAAGTCCACACAAAACTTTCTCCCTCAAAGGACTGGGAGGAATGAAACAAATTTTACCTCATTGTTGGCTAAACCTTTTTTGTTTAAAACTAAAGTGCCATGAAGCTCTATCCCAAACTGAAACACCTGGCCAGAAAATTCCATAAAAAACATGACAGCAAAGCATGAGAATGCACATGTAGCAGATTTCACCATTGGTATTTGTGTTGATATTTTGGACCACAAAACTAACAAAAAGGCCTCAAACTCACAAAAGGTTTGGAAACTACCAACCTAGGAATAATGCCCAGGTGTTTTGGGTTAACCCACTGCCAAGTCTGCCAGGATGCCTCACACTCCTCATGAGGAACATCTTTTAGGGAGCTCCTGTGGAATGGCTGCAACTCTCAACTTCCAGGATCCCTTCTCGCAGGAAGGTAGAGAGGGATTAAATCAGTGAACTTCAGTTTTAGCTTAACACACATGCAGAATTTATTACCCTTGGAAAATAAAATATCCAGCAAGTAGAAATCTACATTTTCTTTCACAAGGAAGAACCGAAGACAATTTAAAAGAATAACAATGTAATTTTATTAAATTTTATCAATCCAGATTCCTGGTTTAGGAATTCAAAATACCTACTTGGTGATCACAGGCAGAACAATTTAAGAATGAAAAGACCTCTTGGAATGTAACATTTTTCTCTGCTTTTATACCTTCTGTGCTGACAACAAGCTTCCCTTCCTTTAAAGTCTGATCTCCTTGGACACCTTTACATACAAAATTATAAGCAGCTGCAACCCAAGAGAGGAATGAAAATATATTTTATTTTTCATTTAAAAATAACATTATCAGCCTGGAGAAACAAGGAGGCAGCACAGAAGATCATGCAGAAACAACAACAACTTTATCTACTGGTGCAAGGAACACTAAGTCTTAAAAAAACAACAGCTCTGGGATGAAAGTTTAAATCTGGCAGCAAAAAGTTTTCAAACTGCATCTGGGAGCCAAGTAAAGTGTTTTAGTTAAGCCCAAGTGCTTTACTTTTCCAACTGTATCCACTGATGTCCTTGTGAAAATGTTTAGAGACCAGAGATTATGGGAATAAAACAAAAGCAGGAAAGTGTGCCACATCCAGAGTATGCATATCTCATCCAGGTAAAAAACCTTGGATGTTCAGTTTTTGAAAGATCTAGGTGAAAAGAAACTGACTTTGCTCAGCTGGGAATAGGATACTTCACCATAATATTTGATACCATTCATCAGATAGGAGATATTTGTGAATCATGTTGTGGTATCAATCTCCCTTGGATCACTGGGTGCACTGAAGCAGAAAAAAACCATCCAGCAGCAACTCAGAATTCAGGTCAGTTTTTACCTGTACTGAAATTAATTCCATTGTGAATTTCTGTGACTCAGTCTTGGCATATTATCAACCTCAAATCAACACAGTCTGTGTTCCATGCAAGAAACCTGCATTTCCTTCAACTTCTGTAACAAAGGAGGCTAAATTGGCAATTCTTTTAGACCATTTTAAGCCAACATCCAAAGCTAATTCATTCTCCCTGATTTCTCACCTTGAGTGTTAATCATTAAACCCATTCCAGGTAATTGGCTCAGGTTCCCAAGAAGTGATTTGTTAAACTTCAGCCAGTTCTCCATTGGTTCTTGTCTCTGATCTATCAGCACAAAGCAGGCATCTGATTGCCTTTCTCCTGATCTCCTGGCACCTGGAATCTGCACCACAGGTCAGAATTCCTGAACAGGTAAGAAAGGAGGAAAAGAGGTGGAAAAGGGACTACTCCTGCTAAATTATGATCCAGCCATTGAGAACTGCAGGTATTTACTGTCAGGGAAAAACAAAAACAAACCCCAAACTTCCTTCTGTTGCCAAAATCTTTTAATCCACATTAAAAACTATAGTCATAGTCAAGCATTATCCTTCCCTCTCACATTCAGTACCTTCTCCTAATACTTGAGATAGAACTATTCCATTAAATGCTGCTTTTTCTTCTTTTTTCAAACCAGAAGCAAACAGGTGAGAAGTGTTTTTGTGGCTCTGAAGTCTCCAAGATGCCTATTGGCCCCATATGGACCTAGAATTTTAATGTTTAAATTCATTTTGCCTGCAATCCAAACATGGCAAGCACCCAATACTATCCTGCAAACTACTTAACACCAGGAGCCAAATGGGCAGCCCCTGTGCTGTACACTCTGTGATGGTTTAGAATATCATCCTACAACTCTGTATGAATCCAAGCCAGGAAAGATAAGATGAAGAAAAAATGTCCTGGTGTCCCTATGGAATCTAGATAAAAAATATGCTTTTAACTGTTAATTTAGAGGACCCACAGTGTGTCAAACCATTTTATGCTAAATTGTTATGAGTGGAATATTAATTTCAGCTCCTTGACCTCATTCAGAAATACGTGGATTGTAAGCCCTATAGCAGTGGGTTTTTCTACAGCTCAGAGTGTGTGTGTATTAAAAAAACAGCATTGTGTAACAAAAAAATATTCACTCTGAAAGAATACTAAAACTTCATTTGGTGTCTGCCCAGGACTTTTCAGTCCAAATCAGGAAATTGATACATTAATCACTGCTACGGTTTTGAGATGAACTTTGTAGTACCAACCTCTCTTCTCTTTTAGAGCTACTGTTCACAGATATCTTCCTGCTTCTGCTACTCTGGGCCTAAGTTACTGTGTATTTTCCTTCATTGAGCAGCTGTAGAAAAGATAAGGAAAAGACTATCAATTTTTACAAGGATAGAATCCACCAGCAGATTCTCCAGGTGCTGAACCTGATTTGGAAGATGACAGAGTATGTTGATGGCATACATTCATTTAGGATAATCAAAATAGCTCCAGAAGGATTTCAAGTTACTTAGCAAATAGGCAATAGCACCAAGAGTCAAACTCCACCCACTAAAGAGGCAGACAAGTAACACCAATCAGAAAAGAAGTTTTAGAGCCCCTGACTTTAACTTCCAAGTAACAATATCAGCTCTGTGTTGAATAGCAGGTTAAGAAGGACAAAATAGAAGTCATGGATGTATTAACTAAGAATGCAAGCATTCATTAGCACAACAGTCTTAATCCAAAGGGCAGGCACCAGGAATAGACACATTAGAACTGGAAAAGTGGAGTATAATGATGATATTGAGAATCACACAAGAGATTCAATGAGAAAAGTTTTAAATTGTTCCAGTTCCTACAGGTGGGGAAAAGGAAACATCTGACAGGATCAAAACTACAAAAAATCCCAGAGGAGCTTAGTAAGGACTCTGCTCTCACCATTTCACAACTCCTCACAAAAGACACACAGAGCCCAGTGGGAGTATCAGACTATCCTGGAGACTGACTGAGAGGGACTGAGCAATGCAGAGATGAAAGAAAGCAGCTCCTACAGCTGGATCTTACCTCACCTACCCATCACCCACATCCACAACTCAAGGAATACATTCAATTAAGTCCAGCATTATAAATATACATTGAACAGGGAGGCAGATTCAAGAGCACAGGTATCACTGTAAAGTCAGATTGTGAGTGCCTAATTTAGATGGTTCAGGCAGGTAGAGATAGCAAGGGATGTATTTAAAACCACGCTGGAATTTGATTCTGGAGCCTCCTAAAAGACACAGCAAAGAGCTGCAAACACATCCCTGCCATGCTCAGACAGCTGTTACAGCTGAAATCCGTGGTATTTCTTACAACTGTGATTAAGTGTGCAGCTCCTGCCTGTCTCCATGGAGACTGATGTTGGCTCAGCAAAAAGTCACCAAGTGCTTCAAAATAATTCCTCTTCGTTTTGAAATTTCAAAGCACTTAACTTGTTTTTGCCTATCAGATGTTATTTTCCCAACTAAAACTGCAGCAGGGAAAGCAACCAAAGCACTAGTAAAACTACAAAAATATTTTTAAATCTCATTTCACATGCAGCTGGAAATTAAACACCAAAATATACATTAAAAAAACAGAGAGAATGGAATCTCCAAAACTAGAAATCAAGCAGTCACTTGCACCATCTTCACGTTATGTGTATTTGTGCACCAAGTAATTTATATTTAGCTGCAGAAGAATCCTTTTTGGGATGATTCAGTAAAGTATTTTGTGCTAATTCACTACAGCAGATAACAGCAAATTCTACCTTGCACAAAAAATAACCTGAATTTAAGCTTCCCAGATACATAAACAGCAGCTGAGAATGTGTGCAATTATAAAGCTTTTTTAAAAGGTTCTCCATAAATATGGTGGGTTTAGTGGTAAAAATATTACAGCATTTATAAAGTGTCCACAGATAAACAGGTAAATACTGTTGACAGTCTCAATTTAGCACGGTATTTTTTAAACCTGAAATGTAGCCATAAACTCGTATTAGCACAAAAGGTTGGGTTTTTTTTTATATATATATATATACACACACCCACACACCCCTTTTACCAGAAATTATTCAAGTTTACCTCAAATAATTTGCACTTCCACATTGCTAAAGATTCAAAAAAATAAATTTCAGCTAATGAATTGACTTTAAAAGCTGTTTGAGATCACACTCTGCATAAAGCAATTAAAAGATGTCACACAGGGTTGGGTTGTTATTTTCAGTTTTCAAAGAATGGCTGAGGTTGGTAGGGACCTCTGAGGTCACCTTGTCCAGCCCCTGCCCCAGCAGGCTGCCCAGGCCCATGTCCAGAGAGATTCTGAATATATTTGGGGATAGACCCTCAACAGCCTCTCAGGGCAACTTGTTCCAGGCTTTGGTCACCCTCACAGCCGTGTGATAATCAGACACAACCTCCTGTATTTCACTTTGTCCTCCCTGCCTCCTGGACACACTGGAAAGAGCCAAGGACAATTTTTAAATCCCTCTTTCAGGTATTTGTACCCGTTCATGAGATTCCCCTGAACCTCTCCTGTGAGTTAAGCAGTCTCAGAGCTCTCAGCCACACCATGATGGAATTTTCAGTACTATGTTCCAGTATTCTATTTTTCAAGACATTTACAAACTTAAACTATACCACTACTGAGCCTCATCTTTTTCTTTCTTGACACATATGGAGGAAGAGACTATAATGATCTGCTGGTTTAAATAATCTTTTCCATAAATAGTAAACTTACACACCCGTTTCTTAAGCACAGGAGTACAAAGCTCTGGCCTTCTGGAGCTTCTCTGTCTTCATGGAAAATAAAGACAGTTTGTTCCATAAGCACTTTAGGATAAACTAAATTAGGAATGGTGTCCATGCTGGTCAAGAGGAAATTTATGCCATGAAATAATGGCGTTTTTTTCCTGTTTCTTTCATCACTCCACCACGAATGTATTTTGATTTGGCGAAAAATTATATCCATCCATTTTAAAACAGGATTTTAATACAGATCAGGATTTTGTATTGTAACTCAAAAATGTTCTGAACTATAAGCAATAGGTAATTTGAAACTAAACCAAAGGCTTTTGGTTTTGAATATGAAATAGCACCAAAGCACCAAAGCTGACAGAACAGAAGAACTTGTTGGCCTTGAAACCAGCATTTTATGAGACTGTTGAGGGAAAGGTACTCCGTATGAATTAAACTCTTTTCTTATTGCTAAGGTTACTGACCCCAATAGAAACAAGAAGCCAACACAGATAAATGAAGAAACTCCCCCCCGCCTCTGAACTTCAGCAGTTTAAATAATTCTGATTGCTACTTGATTAGCCTCCTTTGTGATAGAAATGATGGGTGTTTTTCCTCAGCAAGAAAAGAAGTGAACATGACCTCCTGAAAAAAAAAAGTTTACTGAAATAAATGTTCTAGTTCCAGGCATCAAACCCACCATTTTTAACACTTAGGGAAAAAAAAAAACCCCAAAAATCTGCCTCCTCACATTTTTATATATGACATTAATTCATAAATACCAAGATACTAAGGAAATTTTAAACTGTGAAGATAAACTTAACAGTGATGCAACGGAAGTTTAAGCACCAAGTTTAGAATAATGCCACTAAACTAACCAAATCCCCAAATAAAATGATCTCTCTGCTTCATGAGGTAATTACAAGAAAATATCACTTTACTGGCCTGGAATGGACAGGGATAACAGAGGATGATGAGCACCATTGGGATGAGAACTCACCTAAATTGTGTCGCTTTGTCTTCGCGTGCTCGTGAATATGTTTCTTTGTAAAACAGCCAAAGAAGACACAGTAGAGGCAAGAGTGGAGTCTGTTCAGGTGGGCACCACACATATGACAAATGCACGACTTTGCCTGAAACAGCAAAACAGACACAGGTTGTGAGTGTCAGAAACATCTCCCAGCTCAGGTAACCGGGCACAGCTCTCATGGTCACCCGTCCCTTTCACTCTGGAATGCTAAACAACAGCAGGGACACTGTTCTGTCCTCATGTGACAAAACCAGCAGCTGGTTTTGATAACAGTTAATAATAACAGATAAAATAACAGAGAAAACGCTTCCATTTGTCCAAGAGATTTTCAAGTCCTGCCAGGGAGCAGGTCTCATGATTCAGATGAACACCAGAGCCCAGGGAAAGGGGCTGCCCAGCAGGGAGGTTAAGGTGTGAACAGGCAGGAGTTGGGGTGGTGGGACCATGGCAAGAACTCTGCTTTTTCACAGCACTGACCTACTTGATGCTCTCAAAAGCTGTAATATAACTTGAACATTAACATGTGTGTGGGTATATGATATTTTATTTCTCTGCTGGGAGATTCTGCCAGATTCATTAGATTTTTCTACATTAGTCCAAAGAACAGTGGCATAGTATCAAATCCATAGCAGCCAGAGTTATAGAAGTTGCATTTGCCATTCTGAGACTGGCTTTGGAGTAGGAGCTGAAAGCAATGGGCTGAACTATTCCCCAAAACTACCCAGAATGGGCAGGTCTGAGGAAATTTGCCCTGATTCATTGGAAATTAATAAGCACACACCCCTGATATGACAGTTGATGATAGCAATATATTTTAACAAGTGAGGCTTAAGGATTAAAAAAAGTCACTGGATCCTAATCATATTTGAAGCACTCTAAGCCAATAGCATCCAAACTCATTTCTTAGCATTAAACTAAAGTACTTCAATAATTTTTAATTACTCTGTTTAATAAGAGGCTTAAGAGAGTTTTGACATTAAGTCTTTCACTCAACCACACTAAAAGTAATTTAGGTTCAATACCATCTGACTGGAAGTTACAGACAGGAGAAATTCCTTGCAGCAAATTCAATTTTCATCTCAGAACTGCATTCAGACCTATGTCTGAGGGCAACTGAACTTCTGTAACAGCTTAGAGCTACAAAGAACACTTAGAGGTATGTCTGATTTTACAGCCTAATCTGAAAATACTATTTCTTTGCTTGACAATATAGAAGGACCCTTTTCTCTTCACACTAAAAAAAAAAAAAAGAATTGGGATTACTAAAATCCTAAGCTATCATCTAACTCAGGCAATGCATTTCATCAAAAACAACCCACAAAATTCTTCAGTAATATTTGCCCAGTCTGCCACGACTTAAAATTACTGCTGAATAAATGATGCACAATCTTGTTCTCTAGTCTGGCATTTTTCTCCCAGAATACTTTTGGCTTTAAAAAAAAAAAAAAAATCACCAAAGCAGCTCGCAATATGTTGCACCATGTAATTTATTTTCAAGCTCCTACAAATTAAGACTTAAATTCTGAATCTCACATGTTGTGTATTCAAAGTTATCATAAGTTGTTAGGGGAAAATGTTGAATTGAACTCCACACACCTACAGAAAGAAATATTTTAAAGTTGGGCCAAAAAAAATTCACCACCACCAGCACAATTTCCATCTTTAGAAAAATGCTGCAGAACTGTCAAACTGTTGCCTAACGGCCGCTCGTTGGCTGCAAAAGCTAAATAGGATCAGCCTATCTGTTAAGATTGCTGCTATGACAACAACTCCAGCAACCAGCTATTTTACTGAGCCAGCTAAAAATAAATCTTTTAGCATTAAATGTATTGTAAACACATGACATAACAAGCATGTAAAAGCTGGTCATTTTAGGGTAAAAGGCAGAAAATTTGTATCTTAAAGAGTTTTTATTGCAATGGAAATTAAGATAAATTGAAGAATGTATAAGAAATTTAGTGATAAATTGACAGAGCAGTTCAAACATCTCTTGAAAGGAAGCTATTTTATCCACATCCTCTATTTGTGCAGTATAGCTCAAGATGGCTTTTCAAAAGTTGTAAGAAAACAAGGTTAAAAGACGAGAGTGCGGAAAGAAATCAATACCAAAACCATAGTGCCTATTCTTAACCAGATTAGCTCTCTCCTTGTCATCTGTCTGTGCTTTTAAACAATTTGCTAAGTTAAAACAAAGCTGCCACTCTCCTACCCCACCCCAAATAATCAAATTCTTTGTTTCATAATACTCCCACCCTGCTCACATCTCTTGAGGCTACAGTCTAAGATGAAACAGAATACTGCAAATGAGTAATGAGAAGCAGTCAGATCCATACAGTCACCAGCTTGTTTTAAAACAGCATTCAACTTTTTAAAAAAGCAAGTTAGGTCTTGCTTATGGTCTGGATACTTTAGGGAACTCAACCAGGATTTCAGCTACAGAATTAACCTGCAACCTCCTCCCCCAAGATACAGGAATATCCCTTCCTTGTCCAAGAGTTTCCCCTTCCTTCACAGTCTTTCCCACTATTATTCTGCTCCTTTCCTGCTTCCCTCCTGTATTATCCTCATGCCCAAGTACCCCACTCTCCATCTTTCACTCCATCATACACAGTCCCTCATCTTCATGTCCCCAGCCAGCTTTCTTCAATCCACACTAAACCTCTTTCTGTTACCTTTATTTTTGCTCTGATATTCCAACAAACCACACACAGAAACCAGAAGAGGCCTTGAATGTTTTCCCTCTGGAAGATTATAATCACTTTTTTAAATTGTAAGAATGGTCATGCACAATATAAATGGTGTATGCCCATTCAAAGAGTTACTGATAGTTCTGACAGCATCTCAATTCCCTCTGCAGTGCTTCACCCTCTTGTGATCTCCTGTGTTGCTACCAGGGCTGGGGTAACTCACAGGCCCAGACCCAGCCATGTTTTGTACCCTCTACAGAGGAGGTTCAGCCCAGCAAAAGAGGGTGCAAACATTACTGCATGACACACACAGGGGAACTGGCTGTGACCACCTGTAAGGCAAGGCAAGAGGCCACCTCTAAAAATAAACTATCCCTACAAAGCCAATAGTGCAGTGAAAGCAAGATGCATCCAGTGACTTCAGCTATTACAAATTCTCCTTCTACATTTGCAGGTATTTCAGAAATAGCTTTAGAAGTACAATTTTTATTTAACTGTATATGATAAGAGGAAAACATCTTTTTAGAAGTTTTCCACTGTGGAGTCTTGCCTCTTATGTTCACACTAAATATATCAAAGCACTTAGAGAACAGAGAGGTTTTTAGCTACGAGCTTATAAGCCAAAGTCCTCCTACCTTTCACAGTCTGCAAAACATATCCACCACAAAGGTACAGGGGAAAAGATGGTTGAGGTAACACTAACAAGACAGTGGGAGGCTTGGGAGGTTAAAAGATCATAAGGAAGGTGGTGCCACCCTGTAGGTGTTCACAAGTAACTCAAAGAAGCAGATTCCTAAGGAAGTCTTAAAGCAAACACGAGTTATGGATCCCTGCAATGTTTGATCAGGTACAAATCCGTAGCATTGGGAGAGTAAAAGCTTCCCAAATAAAATCTACTTTATTTCCTCATCTTTTAAAGTAAGTATTTTGAGTAAAACAGATATAATGTTTAGACACATCAGAAAAAAAGAAAGTATTCATTTTTCTAACATGTTATAATCGTTACTGGAAGTTTTTGATGAGTATGCTTCATTTTCCAGCCCAAATCTTCTTCAGACACAACTTTATTTTCAGTCTGCACAGATTAAGGTGTTTGTCTACATATGCCTACCTAGAAAATACAGATGTATGTGGGAAATTCTGCCTCCATGCCCAAGTTTGCCACCATAACCTGCTTTGTTCCCCAGGAGCAGTGTCTGTGTTCCAAAAGTGTTACCTCAGCTCTGCCAAACTATTCCTTACAAGGTTGTGCTTCAGAGGACTTGAAAGAAGGTGAAAGCAACACTTGTGTAGAGCCTTAGGAATCTGTGACAGCTCCTGCAATAAAACTCTGCTTTCTTCAATCCTTAATCCCTTACAGACACATGAACAAAAGTGAAGAGTCTGATTTAAGTTTTGCAGTGTTCATTACCTCAATAGCAGACCAGGGGAAAGAAGAAAAAACAAACCTAAACCAGGAAACTCAGACCTTAGACTGAATTTTTTTTAATAGGATGTGCAAATGCCTTCACTGGGCCACTGATCAAGACACTGAAGCAAAATTTAAACATTCCCTCACATATTCAGTGTTCCATACCTTAATATTCACATTTTAGGAACAGTCAATCCTCTCTGGGAATTTTTGCCTATTCTATTCTCCTTGCTATGTTTAGATCACAGCCTGGACACAGAGTTTTATTTTTATTCTTATTCATTCATCTTGCAACCAATTCTCTTCCAGATCTAAAGCAGCCACAGCAGCTCATGTTGAGTGATGAACAGTGTGCTTCCCTTGGCCTATTTTTTAAAAGGAAAAAAGGACAGATAATCACAAAAGGACATGAAACCAACCACTGCTGAAGATGGAGACCCTATGGCTATTCCAACCGTGGTGTTTCTTCTGCTCTGTAGGACGACAGAGCCAGTGTTAAAGCACAGCCAAGAGGATTTATTACTCGAGTACTCTGCACCTCAAGAGTAACAAAAATGGGTCAAATCTACCTTACAACAATTCTGTCACTCCTTAGTCTGTATTTACTCCCAGACTCCCCATGCTGTGTTCCTGACACTAGTCTGTCACAAATCCATCAAACACCAGTACAGGGGCTGGGACATTTCAAACATTTTAATAATTAAAACTTCCAAGCCATGTTCTTAGAGTTGCAGAGACAAAAAGAAGGAATTGATTCTACAGTTCTGCATGATATGGCATACAAATCACTCCTCCACAGGCTGATAGGATGATTCAGTTACTCTGAGTCAGTGCACTGTTCTGACACATCAGCTTTAAATAATTTAAAAATCAACTTAAGTATTGTTCACTCACTTCCTGCAACCAAGTCTTAATTAGAAAGATTAGAAATGTCAATGTTGTCTTTAAAAGAACATGCCATCAATATTGTAAATTTTATTTTCAGACCCACTGAGGCCAGGTGTA